TTCTGTACATGTGTGCTTCTGATCCCCCATGAAAACAGCAGAAAAGGACTGTATGCTGAAATACCACCCCATATTTAATCACTTCACTCCAATGACTTTCCAGGTTAAGGAGGCTGCAAACAGATTTCTTCTGGAATCAAACAACACGGAAATGAGCACTAAACATGGACTATATTCGATTCATTTTACAGAAGTGGCTTCTACATCACATGAAAGCTCAAATATAATGCAGAAATTAATAGTTAGGAAAATAGAACAAACTGCCCTGTGAACGCAGCCCTTGATCATAAGAGTGTTTTAATTCAACTCTACTTTTGGACAGCTCCTCATTCCAACGGTGTATTATTTATTCCTAAGAATATTGAATGCGGAGAGTTCTGAGGGTGGGGTGTGCTTACTTGCCGACAATGCTCTTAATAGTGGCTCTCAAAAACACAGTGAAGACTCTATCGAAAAAGTAATTACACTTAAAAGGGGGAAAAACAGGAATGAAAAAGTTTCAGTTCCTTGGAATCATCAAAAAGTTTCTTCTGTCGCTTCAATACAATTAGGAAAGGTTTTCCTTTGAAGGCAGTCTGCTCAATATATAATTAAATGGGAATGTGTTAAAAATACAATAAAATGAATCCCCACTTGCTCAGAAAGTAAAAGAAAGCTTTTCGTTGGCTTGGTTATTACTAGGAATCATGGACACTTAGTACAGGGGGAAAGAACTGATTTTTAAAAAGAGGACGGTTTCAAGAATGATGATCATTAAAGGCTAGGGGCATCAACCTGCTGTATCCATTTTCCTGCTGTAGAGAATATAGCTTGAGACTGCAGTAGTACAATCCCTAACCTGGCAGTATCTCCCATTGTACTCAATGGGTCTTAATACTGACTAAGGATTGCAATGGAAGTCAAGAAGCGTTATGGCAGAATGGAGACTACTGTACATTTAATGTCTCTACAACCCAATTCACACGTGACCAAAAAGCAATGGGAACCATAGAAAACTGTAGGCAAACATGGTGGCACTGCTCAGCATGCTCTGGCAGCTGACAGGGGCCCAGCCCAGCTCATGCTAGCACTTTGTTCTGGGAAGGCCTGCCTTCCTATGCCATCCCCACGGCCAATCTAATGTTAAAGAAAGGCAATGGCAGCACCACAAATAGCAGAGCTACTCTCACACCCACTGTTGGTGGAACGTTCACAGGGGAGGGGCACCAATGTTGAGGAGTGGTATCCGAGGCAGCTTTGCAGGGGACGACTCCCAACACTAGGTCTACCCAGTGTGTGGCCCACCTAACTCAACAGAGCAATATATTAGAACCACAAGAGCATTGACTGCTTGGAAGTATAAAACAGGGAATGCCATGCAGGCTACAATATGTGATTGATATGCTATGTTTAGCTTTCTGGTCACAATTTGTGGAAATCTACACTACTTGGAGACCTGTGTTGCCACTCACATTTCCCTATGCCCCTGGAGTTGGAAGAAAGCCCTACTCCATTCCATAGGACCTGCTCCCACATTAGATTGGTTAGGATTGCAATCCTACTCTCAGCTCATAAAAGGGGATCTACAATTATTCTAGATGCTCTCCTCTGTTGCATAAAGGTCATCTGCACAGAGCAATGTACAGAATTTCCATTTATTAGTCAGTTAGTTAAATTTCTATACCGCCCTTCATCCTTGGATTGCAGGGAAGTTTACGATACAAAAACGCAAAAATACATAGCATGGAAACAAACGAATACAATGCTCCCTCTACCACAGTTTAAAAGGTCATAGATTGCTTAATTAGCCAAAGGCCCACCAAACCTCTGTACTCCATGGTGCTCTTCGACTAAGTTATCCAAAGACCAACATTATTATTCATGACGTCCTCGTTCTGTTTCCAAGTCCACTACACATCTAGATTTCCTTCCATCATACAGAAGTTCTCTAACACAGGCTTTATAAAGTTTATATGACAATCAATGTATATCAGCATAATGTTTCCATACTGTTCTATATGCACATACACATTGCCAGAAGTCTGATATGGTGGAAAGCATATCAGTGCTTCCCAAAAATTAATCAATATTTGTATGGTATTTCTGTTTATTTTCACATGCATCCATAAATACCTTTTTAACACACTCAAAACTATGCCCCTGCCAACCAATCTTCCCTGTTCTCTTCCTACACATTTGTGAACCTCAGAGTTTGTCATCAGGTCCAACTCTCTGGTATGGTGCAGACAGTGTTTTTTTCTGAGGGTACATTGTACTAGCACCCCTTTTTTTTTTTTTGTAGAAGAAAAGCACTGTCAAAAGTGTGGCGCGTACTACAACAACTTCATGATGAGTACTGGCATCTTTTTTCCTAGAAGAATACCACTGGGTATAGAATATGGGTCATCTGTAACCATCCAGATAATAAGCTTACCAAGTGGTTATATGCATCATTTGGTGAATGGCCACACATATTCAACTCTGAAGGCAATGAAGTCAATGGAAATAAGACAGCACTGTATGCATAATGAGTTAGTGACACTAAGTGTGCATATACTTTGGAAGACTTTGGATTGCACTTTATTTTCTTTTGAAGTTGTCCTCCCCACCCAAATTGAGAAAAGCTGTCATGATCTCCGGGGGAAATGAAAAAGGAGAGATTTGGCCACTGCAATGTAAAAAGGGAGAAACATTGTGTGTCAAGACCCCAAGGCCACCTCCTTATGTTGAATAATAACACGGGGCCACCATATATTAGGTTAAGGGGCAAAATGTAGGCCACAACTTTATTGGTTGCAGAATGTAAGTGGTATTGGCTTAGGCATTGGAATTGAACCGACTATATCTGACTCCTGCCCGCCATGCAGGAAGTGTCACAAGGGTTAACCACCAGTAGGAGAAGCCCTGTTGATGTACATCAACTTGGAGCTCCCCCAGGGTCACCAGAAGGTTGTGTCATGGCCCCAGCCTCCACCCAGGCTTTGGACAGGAACCACGAGCCCCAGATTCCTTTAAAGTAATATCCTTTAGAATGGAGGGGCAGGTGAAGGCCACACCTCCCTTCCCCCAAACTAGGTTTTACCAATGCCTAACCGCCAAACCTTACAAAAGTTGTGATGCTTGCTACAAGGTAGGCGAAAACCAAATGGCCAGTGCCAATTTGCCAAGTGGAAAAATTCCTACCAGGCCCCTCAACGGTGACCAACCAAGGTCCATAGCAAGGCCAATATGCTGAACACATTAAAAGAGGGCGGAGGGCGGGAGATCCGCGGAAGCTGGAACAATAAGGGAGATCGCCCAGCCGCGTTGCTGCTCAAAAGGGGTAAGCCACGCCCCCAGCCAACCAGATTAGCTGGCTTGGGGCCATGACATGGCTGGGGACTCCCTGATGACAAGGGGGCTTAGCCCAGCCCCCGCTGCGTGTGAAGGCCACGTGGCCTGCTCGCAACACTGCCCCACTCAGAAGTGGACCGGCCCTAGAAAATTTCAAGAAGCTTATACTAGTCAGGGTCAGTCCTGCTATTAGGCAGAGTGAGGTAGTTGCTTCAGACAACAGAAGTTGGACAGTAGGGAATGAAACAGTAGTCTATTGTGGGGGCTGGTGCCTATTGGGACTGATAATGTGGAGGGCCCAACTGTAAGTGGAACCAGAGCTAATGACAGGTGCTGCCACAACCAATGACAGACATAACCTACTCATTCTAGTTTTGTCCCAGTCTTTGTCCTTGCTGAATTCCACAAGTTCCAGCACAGGAGTAAGAGACAACTGCCCCACCAGTCAGCTTCTGTACATGAGCTAGGGGATATTCTCTTTCATGTCAGGCAGGAACATGTATTGGGCAGCCCTGTCATGGAGCAACAGGGATGCTTGTGCTTTGGGAAAATATGTTTGTTTGCCAGGCTTCTCTAGGTTTCTGCATGCAGGTTCATCGAACGTGGGTTGTTAAATGATGGCATGAGGTGATTCACATGTGAAAGAGTCATAGATCTACCACAGATGTGGTTCTAAATGCAAACCATTTCCATAGAGCCAGTGTACGCATTCTGCCACTAAATATCTCATGCCAAGGATGCAAACAGAGTAGGTGCATGTGTGAACCAGCCTAGAAATTGAGCATTTGCTGGGGCAAAGGGGTAAGTAATGTAGCAGTATCAAGCAACAACAAATGGGAGAAGGGAAAAGTTCTGTGAACTCTATACGCTGGTTTCCTAGCAGAGTCATTTCAGACTTCTCAAGAGACTAAAGGTAGTGATGATTTATAGGTAGTAAGCCTCAATTTGGGAGGCCATAAGCACCTTCTTTGATCTAGACTTCTACAGATTTGTTTCCTATGTACTCAGTGAGTAATGAGTGATTTGCTATTGATTTGTCCACAGGCAGAAGAAAAGTGGATTGGTACTGTAACTCCAAAGTGAATGGGAACTTCAGGAGCATGGTAAAAGAAAGGAAAACCACCAAGAGGGAAACATTTACAGCTTTTCTAATCTATTTCAGCTCTTATCCTCAATTTCCTCTCCTCCAAGCAACATGATTCAGGGAAAGCTGTAAGAATTTCAGACTGTACAAATGCATTCAGTATAGTACTCTCTTTTTTGCATTTGCTATTATCAATCACTCGATTTAATAGATTAAAATATGCATAAAATTATGACTCATCCATTAATGGTTCTAACCCGGCTGTAATAGTGAGTGTTCTAATTTTAAACACTCCTGAAAGTATTGTAGTGTGTGTGGTTGGTTTAACTATTATCTTCTTGTTAACAAAGACATTATATCATTGTTAAATATTATTACTTAGCTTTTTTTTTAATAAATACGTACCTATCTATCATTATCTCACTGCCATTCACAACATTCAATGATGTTATTGCTCCCATTTTAAAGTTGGGAAATGAAAATTGATGACTACTGACTTGCAGAATGCTATGCAAATGATTCATTAATGCATCATGGGTTGAAAATAGATATAATAATAATAATAATAATAATAATAATAATAATAATAATAATTTGTACGCTGTACTGTTCTTAACACTTGATTGGGAGCCACCAGAGTGGCTGGGGAAACTCAGCCAGATGGGCAGGGTATAAATAATGAATTATTATTATTATTATTATTATTATTATTATTATTATTATTTGTACCCTGCCCATCTGACTGGGTTTCCCCAGCCACTCTGGCCGGCTTCCAGCATATATAAAAACATAGTAAAACATTAAAACTTCCCTACACTGGGCTGCCTTCAGATGTCTCCTAAAAGATATATAATTACTCATCTCCTTGACATCTGATGGGAGGGCAGCCTGATTGACAAAGGCTTTTGTATGGGAATGCTGCAATATGAGTAGAGCCGATTTCTGTGGACACTAATGTTATCTTCCAGGGGCAAGATGTTTGGATGGATGCTGGGTAGGTGCCTCATGAGGGGAAGCAGTTGCCTTAACACATTGCACGGGGTGCATGCAAATTTCATCCCTTTCAGCCTCCCCAGTTGATGATCAACATAATGAGAGGCGCATTTAATGGGGTGTGATGTGGTTTGCAAAATTTGCCGACCTCCCCAGCTCAGGGGCAATTTAATTGACTCCTATGTGGTACATGGGTATCATTTCTGTGCTCATACATAAATTGCTCAGAGCATGGTGCTGATAATGTTGAGGTTGTGGGTTCAATCCCTGTATGGGACAGCTGCATATTCCTGCATTGCAGGGGGTTAGACTGGATGTTCCGCAGAGTCTCTTCCAACCATAGATATGATACCTATGATATCCCTCATGTGGGCTGAGTGCCCATGTCTAACTTGCTGTATGCGTACACCACGGTTTGTGTCCAATGGTTGTGTGAGGAGGAAGCACCTTGCATAGTTGGATACTGCCCCATAGGATGACACCACCAACCAGAGCTTTCTGCCACATGTGCACATATGCACATATTTGTCACACAAGCACTCTTTTACAAGGAAATGATATCTATGTTAGGACAGTTGGCTTCCATCATACACACAACTTGCAAACCTCCCTCAGTTGTGTGCACCAAATTCACACACCTCCATTCCCCCACCCCACTTCAGAAATGTTCAATTCACGTCCCACATGTATTTCACTAAATAAGCAAAACAACGAAAGCAACCCTCAGTAGCAGTGACCCCTCAAGTTATAACGGTGAGGTGAATGTACTTGATGGATTATTGCTCCCCAGACAATACACTTTTGAGGTTAAAATATGAAGTTCAATCTGAGTTAATATGACACACTGATGTGGAACATGTCAGTTGGCTTAAATCAAACTTGTTTTTACATTATATTAGCACATTTTGAGCCTGAACTGAGCAATAATGTTAAGACAAGACTAAAGGCCCTTAAAAATCATCACTAAGAAGCCAAGCTAGATAAAAGACAGTTAATTATGCTCACAGATATTTATTACCTCAAAGTGTCTAAATAAAATGTAGCTTTTAAACTATTACCCAAGTAAACCCAATGATTTTAACTGGTCTTTTTTAGTCTGTATTGATAATCTGTAAAGGAAAACATACATAAGCACAATTTCCCTAGCCATGCGCAATAACACAAACATAATTTCTAAATGGAAATAACACCTTGCAAACTAATGATAAACTCCCTTTTTGCAGGCAGAGTCACCTTCAGAAGAAAATTGGCTCCAGAGATGAGAAACACTCTGTGTGTGTGTGTGTGTGTACATACATTCACAAATATACATATGCGAGTAAATAATGAAGAGACTCCATAGGGTTTTGACAGAAAAAGATGAGTAGTTTGTGTACCCGTAAACAAATTAACCTTTAGAAATGAAAATGTGTGGATGGGAATTTCCAAGCCATTTCCAAAGCGTTGCCGGATCTTAATTATGATGTGAATTTACATTGGACATAGAAGGATGCATAGAGCCAAGAGGGCTTAGAAATGGGTGCTTATCCAGCAAAACAATGTGGTGGGACAGTCACGAACCAATTGAAAAATGCACGTTCACTTTTAATGTTTGACGTTGCTATTTTCCTTAAAAGAAAATCTATATAAATTTATATGGCTTGCACTTGTGCTGTTCTCTGAGAGTTTGAAAACAGCTGTTCTACTGCAGTGGACTTTGACTGGGTAGATTGCAATGCTCAATAATCTGTCTCAGCTCAGGGTTAAGTGATGGAATTCATTTAAATGCCCCAGAAGTAATCATCCACAAAGAGTACATTATTTCTCTTTTATGAATTTTCAAACCTAATACTGATGGGTGGCATGCAATTAAACCTGATCAATATGTAATTTAGGTGGGCTGACATGTTTTCAAATTCTCAGAATATAGATTCTTTCAATATTGCAAGAGCTTAGTGAAATACTTAGCCCTTATAAAACAGACCAGGCATTTTAGTACAGTACAACAACAACCAAGATGTGTCTATTGGCAAGATAAATGGAGCCCAATTCAAACTAATAACTCCTAACTTTCAGCAGAAATAAATACCCTTATTTGAAAATCAAGGATCTTTTCTTTCAGCAATGAACACAACAGCTAATGTGTTGATGAGGAACAAAAATCACATTTGCATATGGACGGGCTGGGTCTGAGTTACTTGGTTCACTTTATGGAGGGCAGTTTAAAATGCTAATAATGACATTTAGTTGCATATGTTCCCGCAAATATTTATTCTAAAGGGTTTTATTTTTTAAAAAAAACGAAGATGGAAGAAAAAAAGAGAAGAGGATCACCATAACGATCCTTTGTCTTAAGCTAATAAACAAGGGGAAGTACATTGCATTGTGACCTTAGAGGTCATGGGTGACAGTCTCTAGGATTGCTAATTAGCCAGCTGTCATCCACAAAGTAAGAATTACACTGGAGTTTCTATGATCTGACATGGCTCAATTTTAAAATTTATGCCTGGAGGTTTTAAACTGGCCCTCCTCTTGCTTTATGTATAAGTATCGTCAACAGAGTCATTCTTAAATAAAATTCAGAAAGATAACTCTATGGTGTGTGTGAGCGTGAGTGCACACACACATGTGTGGGAGTGGGAAGTTGTGCAAGAATCACCATCTATATTTTCCATCCATAGGAGCTATTGCCATTCAAATAGTGTGTGTGTGCTACATTTTGTGATCAATTATGCAGGGCACTCCCCCAGATTCAATGGAACAGTTGATTATTCCCTCCCTACCATCACCAATTTTAATGTAGTGCCACATTATCCAATCAAGTTCCATAGCCGTTTCATTTCTCTTCCATTAGCTCCTTCCCCAAATGCACAGAACACATTTGATAGTAAGTTACAAGTGATATCACTCAGGTCTGAACAACTTGTGACCCACCAGCCATGTGTTAAACCAGGTGCCCAATAACTGAAGATCCTGCTGGATCAGACCATTGGTCCACCTAGAACCACATCCTGTTTCCCACAGTAACTAAACAGATGCCTATAGAGAGTCCATAAGCAGGACATGAGGGCAATAGCTCTCTCCCACTGTTCTTTATCAGCTAATGGGCTTCAGAGGCCTCCTGCCTCTGGAGATAATCTAGATAATCCATCTCTCAGCTCCTTCATTTTCAGGCAGGCAGCAAAACAAGGAGGTATGCAGAGCCCTGAATGGGCTGCTGTACATAACTGGTGGATTATCTTCAGTTTGCTGTTCCACAATTTGCCTTTTGCATTAAGGCAGGCATAGGCAAACTCGGCCCTCCAGATGTTTTGGCACTACAACTCCCATCATCCCTAGCTAACAGGACCAGTGGTCAGGGATGATGGGAGTTGTAGTCCCAAAACATCTGGAGGGCCGAGTTTGCCTATGCCTGCAATAAGGCATTCACAATGGAGCCAAAACAATCACAGAATCATGATCAAGGGTTGTTGTTTTTTTATGTAGGAGAATGAAAGTTAAGTCTGTTTTTTTTAAAAAAGAGCCCCAGCAATATACTGTGTTTGTGTGAGATTTAGATTTGCTCAGTTCCCACACAAAAGAAAACAGAAAGTTTTGGGAGAGTTGACAGAGTAGAAGAACATGCAAAACTGGAAAGCTGAAATGAGATGCAGATCTACTGGGGAGTGAGTTCAATGGGACCCACTCCCATGTTAGTATGCACTGGATCTCAGCCAAGTACACAAAGTATCAGCTAGGAGGAGAGACTCAAGACCCATTAATAATAATAATAATAATAATAATAATAATAATAATAATATATTATTTATACCCCGCCCATCTGGCTGGGTCCCCCCAGCCACTCTGGGCGGCTTCCATCAAAACACTAAAATACAATAAACTATTAAACATTAAAAGCTTCCCTAAACAGGGCTGCCTTTAGATGTCTTCTAAAAGTTTGGTAGTTATTTTTCTCTTTGAAATCTGGTGGGAGGGCATTCCACAGGGTGGGTTGCCACTACCGAGAAAGCCCTCTGCCTGGTTCCCTGTAACTTGGCTTCTCACAGCGAGGGAACCGCCAGAAGGCCCTCGCTGTTGGGCCTCAGTAGCAGAACGATGGAGGTGGAGACACTCCTTCAGGAAGCATCATTAGGAAGTTATTACTTGAACTTCTATAGGGGAAAGGGGGGCACCCACACTAGCCCTGTCCCCCAGTCTCCCTGCATATGCCAGCTCTACCCTCTTGAACTTTCTATATTGAACAGGAAGGTTTGCAGGGGACTTCTAAGCACCTTCAAGATTCCTATTCATTTGGAGGATTCTTTCACCAGAATTGCCCTTTCAAACCTTCCCACTCAACGTGGTTGGGGTTACAACAGCTGGTTATATGGAAGGCGTGGGCAGGCAGGTCCATGTGCTCCAGTGCCCTCTCCCCATATTAGAGATTCCTAGTTCAGACCTAACATCTGAGCAGGGCTAAAATTGATGTGTGTAGAAAGAAGGGCAGAAGCAAGAGCTGTGAGTCATTTACTTTTTGGCATGGCCTTGACAGAAGTAGATATACCGTACTTCTGTAAAGGGCAAGTCCAAATCATCCCCCCACCAGGGAAAAAGTGAAAATCTACATCAGGAACAAGGTGAGAATGAAGATCTACATTGGGAATGGGGGGGGTATATGAACCGTACCCAAAGGTTGAAGTGGAAATCTTCATGGAGTAGAGTGGGGAAAGGGGGGCCTACTCTAAATCTCACCCGGTAGGTGTAGAGGCCAGGCGACCCCAGAAGGCAGTGCCTGCCATTTCCTTCTAGAGGTTACCCCTTTGCTATTTGCTGAGAGGCTGCTGT